CGAGGGCTGAGTGCAAGCGCGGGGCTGGGCCCAGCCCAGAGCTGTCCGGACCTCGAGGGGCCGGGCTGGGAAAGGCGAAGCCGCGGAGCACGCCGGGCGGCACCTGCCCCGGCCCTGCCGCGTGGCTCCGGGTCGTCGGTCGCCGCCGTGCCCCTGCTGTCCTCATCTGCCACGGGGGCCTCCCCACGAGCAGGCCGGGAGGCCAAGGGTGATGCCTGCGAGGTCGGCCCGGCCTCCCTGCGGAGGAGCTTGGACGGGCCTCCCCAGGAGGCGCTGGGCCAGGGGATCCGCTGGAGGCTGGAGGTGCCCACCCGTCTCAGCCTGGTTTCCTCCAGGGCCCTTGTGGGGTGGGGAAGGGGATGAGGCAGGCGCCCTTGAGGTCCAGGGAGACTCGGAGAAACAGTGACCTCCCCCGGGTCACTCAGCTACTCGCAGACCACAGCAGGGCGGGCCCAGGGCTGCCGGACCTCGCGCTTGGTACGTGTTCCTGGGCACCCAGGACAGGGGCCTTGAGGAAGAGGCGCACTGTGCTCGGGACACAGGCCGGTTGCCCTGGGTGTGAAAGGCCGGGCACGGCCGGAGCAAGCAGCCCGGGCCAGGCTGTCAAGTGAGGCCGTGTGCTTGACAGAGCAGCGGTCCCGGTGCGGTGGGAGAAATAAACCAGACTCGCACTCTGAGAAGGCAGTGAGCCTCCACAGGTCTTCAAGCGGGGAAGCGGTGCTGGCGGAGGGCAGCAAGCAAGCCCAGAAAGGGCCTGGACCCTCGGGCCTCAGGGAAGCCCTTGCGGAGGCCTGGCCCTCGGAGGCAGTAAGATGAGTGGTGCGCGGCGGAGGCAGGGGGAGGGGTGCCTGAAGCCGGAGGCCGCAGTGCCCGACTCCCTGGGGCTCAGCCTGGACGCGCGGTTCTCTTTGTTCCTCTCGCAGAAGTGACTGCTGTGGAAAATTACTGGAAACAGGGCTGGAGCCCTGGGGGTCTCCAAAATATCTCTCCTAAAAGTGGCCCTGCTCTAGCTTCTGTCCAAAGCTTTGCCTTCTCCAGACAAACCGGTTTTTGTTTTTGAGATAGGGTCTTCCTAAAATGTCCAGGCTGAGCGAGAACTCCCATTCCTCCTGCCTCAGCCTCCCAGAGCGCTGGAATTATGGCATTACAGGCAAATGCTGCCATACAAGCTCCAGACTTCTGTTCAGGAATACAGCAGAGCTCACCTTTCCCTCCTTTACTCCCCCCACCCTTACTAGCCTGAAGAGACACCCAGGAACTTCCCTGAAAATTCAGATAGCCCTTCCCAGGGAGAAGAGTGGTGGGGGAGGGTGCTGCTTAAAGCCTCAATACCACTTTTGTTCAGAATCTGATAGCTGATCCGGTTCTGCACCTGCTTGCTGTGTGACCTGGGATCAGCTGCTGTATCTGTCACTCCGCAGAAGCGGAGAGGCTGTTTTAGGTATCATCGCAAAAGATCTGTCTCTCTGTTCTGGAAATAAGTTCATCACATATGTAAAAAGCGTAGCTCAAAGCACTTGCGGGGCTGAGGCAGGAGGATTGCCGAGAGTTTGAGGCAAACCCGCACTACAAAGCGAGACGCTGCCCCGAAATAACCGGAGGAGGAGGAGCAGCAGCAGCAGCATCACTCAATAACTCTGCGCTCCATAACTCAGGCTAGAAACGCAGAAGGTATGGCAAGGTCCTCAGACCTGAGCCCACTAGAAAAGCCAGCTGACACTGATGTCTGGCTGAAGCTCCAAGGACAATGAATCCTCACGGCAGGACAGCCGGCAAGGTGAGGGTGGAAGCAGGCAGGCTCCTCAGGGGAACTGGTTGTCTTGGTATTTCTCCCCCTCGAGGACGCGGCGACCTCCAAATACGAATCTCAGGCTATGGTGGGCTGGGCAGCTCAGGACACAGGCAGGGAATGTCGGCCCTGCCGTGGAGGGCACACGCCCTCCTGTCTCGGTGTGCCTGGTCCACAGCAGCTGGCACTGCCAACAGTCACTGAGCTCGCTTCTGGAGTGCCAAATACTTCCCTCCTATTAATCAACGCATTCCTCCCGACAGCCTTAGGAGGACGTGGCTGTTCCCGTCCCATTTGACAGATGAGTAAACTGAGGCAGGAGGCGCGGAAGCGGCCTGCCACGGTTTCTCAGCGCTAGTGCCCCGATTGCGCCCGGGTTGAAGACTGCAGAGGAGCAACGCTGGCTGCTCACTCGGGCGGGGCAGGTCGCGGCGGGAGACCCGGGGGGGGCGGGGCGCAGAGCCAGGCAGGCCCCGCCCTCGTGGGCCGTCGCAGCCAATGGGCGCCTGGCCCGGAGTGGGGTGAGGCGGCGTCAGCGTGTAGCTCTGGAGCTCGGGAGCCCGGCCTTGGGTCACATGCGCGGCGTCGGTTCGACCCGGGCGGGGAGGCCGCGCCGCGGGGCCAGGTGGGCCTGTGCCCGGCTCTGCACCTGGCTGGGACTGCGGCCAAGTGCGCGTCCCGGGCCTGGAGGGCCGCGGGCGCTGTGCGGCCAGCCCGGACGGGGTTCCGCGGGGTCGCCCCGCCGTCCCTGCCGACCTCTGTCTGCGCAGTCTGCTGGGAGGGAGACGAGGTTCGCGTCTCCCCTCGCCCCCTCGCGCCCCAGAGACTAGGCGGCCCTTCCGTTCGGCGGCCTGTCGGGGAGGCGCCCGGGGCCGGCTGGGCTCTGCGGAGCTCGGTTGGGTGGAAGGGCAGGCGCACCTCTTCCAGAGCCTCCTGCCGCTCCGCCTGGCACCGGCGTCTTCTGCTGCTGCAGGAGCCGAGCTGGCACCTGCCGGGGTCTCGACCAGGTAGCCAGGCGGTGGAGGCCTGGAGCCTCTCCCGCGTGTCCAGTGAGACGGGAGGCTTGCCCCGGGCCGCTGTGGTCCCGGACGACCCTGCGGTCTGCTCGCAGCTGGCTCTCGCGTGTGCCTGCGCTGTGAGCTGGGCAGGTGCTTGCTAGCCCCCTCTGAGCATCCGTGGCCTACTCCCCCTAGGGAGGCTCACAGCGAGGTGCGGCCCCTCGGGCTCAGCTTGAGTTCGGCACCTGAGAGACCCTCCGCGAAAGGCGGGTGAACCCCAAAGCCTGCTGGGTGAGCCTCAGCCTGGGAGAAGTCGGGGGACGGCGTTGCCGTCCGTCCGTTGAGTGGCTGCTTGGGGTAAGGCCCGGTGTAAGGGAAGCCGTGGAACAGGCAGCCGGCACAGAAAGCCGGCGGACAGCATCTAAATCCCACCAGCCAAATCCAGTCATGAATGGGTTATGGTTTTGAACTGTCAAAAGAAAATTTGAGGGCTGGGGATGTGGCTCAGTGGTAGAGCTCCTGCCTTGTATGCATAAGGTCCTGCGTTCATTCCCCAGCATCCCACACACACACGAAAAAAAAAAAAAAATTGAGGCTAGAGATATAGCTCAGCGGCACAGCACCTGCCTGGCAAGCACGAGGTGGCAAGTTCGATTCCAGGTGTCAAAAAAATTAAAGGAAAAAAAAAAAAAAAAAAAAATTTGAAAGTTGGATTGCTGTTTTGTTTTTGTTTTTGAATGGGAGTGAGACAAACCTGGACTGAACAAGTGATTGCGCGTCAAGCAGGGCTGTGGGCGCCTTCGCCAGTCCCCCCATTCCCTGGGTCACACTCAGCCCACTTTACTCTGTGGATGAATGTGACCTTGGATACTGCACCCACCACCAACCTTCCCTTTTAAAGAAGAAAGTGAAGACCACTGACTTAACCTAGTCGCACCATTGAAGCTGCAGCCCCCAGACAGCTGCCCTTAAGAGTCTGGGTGTGGGGAGGAAGTGGTCTCATACAATGGACCCCGCTCTGCTTCCAGAACCAGCCCCCACCCCCAGTGCTAGGAGAAGAGGCTTTGCTGCTGGGATGCTGACGCCCGGCCTTGGAGCCTGGACAGCCCCTTGGGGAGGCCCAGAATGCTCTGCTCATAAGCCAGTGAACTATCTGGGTGAGTGCTACCCAATCGAGAACTCTGATCTGCCTCCCTGGGGCTCAAAGGAGACCCTTTTTTACAAAGAGGTGGATGGCAGGCTGCTTCCACCTCAGGTGCTGCACAGGGGAGAGTAGTGGGTGGGGCTAGGAGGCCTTGCAGGACCCCAGCACTCCCCAGGTTTCTGGGGAGAGAAACCACACATGGTTCTCAGCTCCTGTCCAGGCTCCGGGACTTGATGAGGTAGCCAAGGCCAGGCCGGAGCTCTGAGTGAAGAGTCGGTGTGTCTGTCTCTGTCCAAGTCTGTGTGTCACCCTCAGCCTTGGTTCTCTGCATCCACACTGCAGTGACCACCCATGGTCATATTTATCCAGATTTCATCCTTGCTCTGCTGATGGCCTGGTTTTTCAGGGTGTTATTTGACTTCTGTGAGAACTGTTTGGGAAGAGACACCCTCTCCTTGCCAGTAGAGTTTCTGCCTGGACTGCAGGTAGCCTGAATTTGCCAACACAGAAAAGCTGACCCAGAGAAAGCAAAGCCAAGACATACAATGAGGCACATTGCAGATAAATCAGTAAGCCCCTGGATCCAGCTCTTCCTGAAGCTTTCCCTTATATAAACCAATAAATTCCTCCTTCTGATTGGTCCAAACAACCCTGATGCTGCTTACCTTTACTCCATTTCCTTCCTTTAGGAATAGCTATTGATGGATTGGGGAAATGCATTTTGCCGAGTACCCTCCAAGGAGGCTGGCCAGCTGTGTCCGAGATTGCAACAACCCCCCCCACACACACACAATACCTGCAGCTCCGAGGTGCTGCTGCTGCTGCTCTGGGCCTTGGCTACTCCCTGCAGGCCACTTTAGAGGGCTCCACACTTCCTGGCTGCAGCGTGTCCTGGACTCTGGGAACCCAACCAGGCTGGGAGCCTCCCAAGGGCAGGCCTGAGCAGGCCTTCCCTCCCGTGACACTGACCTGGCACGGGGGAGCCAGTGAGGAATAGCAACTGCAAGCACAAGAGGACTGCTGTCCTGGTGAGTCCGCGGTGGAGACTCCAGGGTGACCCACTCTCACAGGGCAGGGGCATGGCGCCAGTCTTCCGGCTCTACCATGCCAGGCACAGGGCTAGGGGCGCAGACTGGGCTCAGGGTCTGAAGCGTCTTTGCAGAGGAGCCTGAGTTTTGGCCTCTCTCTCATCTCAGGGGCCTGTTCCCCAAGACCCCCCATTGTGGGGGGACACTCACTAGCTCGCCCAGCCGACCAGAGAGAGGCAGGACCTCCGCAAACCTCCTGGAGCCCAGCTGGCAGCTGGCCCCAGGAAACAGTGCTGTCATTTGTGGTCTGGGCTGGTGATGGCGGGGGTCCCGACATGGCCCCTGTTACGGCCCCACCCTGTCCTGAGCCGTCTGCACGGAAGTTCTCACCTGCCGGCCATGGAGGTGGCGGCCTGCCTGCCATCCCTCTAGGGCGCGGGTCGGGGAGGTGGTCTGGATTTGAGTGCTGGTTCCGGTAACCGCCGTGCTCCCAAGAACAAGTCTACAGGTGTCTCCATGTTCCTTCCAGGCCAACTGGGTTTGATAAAGCCACCCCACTTGACATCTGTTCCGGCTTTTAGCGAGATGTCCTCCAAAGCCTCATGCGCTCGTAGGTGGGGCTTTTGCAGAGGCGGCTGGATCTAGGGTGTGTGCTGCAGTGAAGGATGGGATGCTGCGATTGATTCATGGTGCCACCCAACGCTAGGACTAAGGCTGCTCCACCCTGGGTGTGAGTGCTGCGCCCCTCCCGGGAGGGTAGCCTGGAGAGGATACCAGGGACAGAAAGAGAGTTGCTGCTTGTCACCTGTCACTTGCCGCCTGCCATGAACCGTTTCTCCTCTGTGATGCCCCTGCCATTCACCCTGCCTTGAAGCCAGCCAACTATGAACTGAGTTCTTTACAGACTGTGCGCTAAGTACTCTTTCCTCCTTTAACTTTGGGTGTCAGGTACTTTTGTCTCATCAGTGAGAAAAGTAACTTAAGACAACATCTATCCTCACATCCCCAGAGATGACGGCATTCAAGGTCTCCCAGCCCCTGGCCCCTCAAGAAGGCCCAAGCACCCAGCCTGGTACGTTCTGTCCCTCAGGACCCCTCTGTGTCCAGGCCAGCCGGAAGGCCTGCTTCCCAGCACAGAGCCACATGTGCAGGGCAGCCGCCGTGATGCACAGCAGCAGAGGAGCCTTTTTCACATGAAGAGTAGGTCGTGGCCTAGGCAGAGACTGGGTTCCTTTTGATGGGGTGAAAGTGTTCAAAAACTGAAGTGGGGGTGGGTGCACAACCCCGAGGTTATATCCAAACCGCTCCCCCGTACGCTTGCTTTTTTGTAGTGCTAGGGAATGAATCTGGGGCCTCATACATCCCAGGCAGGCCCTCTACCACTGAGCCGCACCCCCAGCCAATTGTACTAAGTGGGTAAATGTGGGATGTGAGTTCTATCTCAATAAATGTTACCAAAAGGTGTGGGTGGTGTCCGCCTGGCCACCAGCGGCCTTCAAATCCAGCCCCTGGCATAAGCTCTGTGAAAAACTGATACCAAACGTAGAGCCTAGCTTCAGAGGGGCTCTGGGGGAGCTCAGGCCCGCTCCCCCTGGACAAGGTGAGTGGCCCCTCCATACCTGTCTGGGACCCAGGAGGACACACAGCACCTGGTCCTAGGTGCTCAGGCAGGTGGGCAGACTTACGGCTGCCACTGAGCCCAGCCGGGCTGAGCCCAGGGGTCTCCCTGGCTTGGCAGTGGGGCAGGAGGGGGAGGGCGGAAAGTGGGTCCCACAGATGCCCGCTCCTGCAGGGCCTCCATAGCAGCCCTGCTTAAAGAAAGTGGTTGGGGGGCTGGGGATTTAGCTCAGCGGCATAGCGCCTGCCTGGCAAGCGCAACGTTGTGAGTTCGATTCCCGGTACCGGAGAAAAACCAAAAAAAAAAAGAAAGAAAGCGGTTGGTCTAACATGGAACGCTCTTTGGGTGGTCACAGCCAACTCAAAAGAGATCACACAGGAGTGGTTTGTTCAGTTATTCATTTATTGTGGAATACATTACATGCAAGAACCCAAACTAGAGAGACAGCATCTGGGAGAGCCAGTGGGGTGAGGAGACGCTCCAGGGTCACTCTGAGCCGAATAAACACCGACCCACTGCCCCGCAACCAGCTCTGCCCACAAAAACACAAGACAGTGACAATAACACCAGACCCGTGGGACAAGGGGATAATGAACTCAACACGTTCCTCTTTTCAGGAGCCCCCAGTGACCCTGGGAACCCTCACAAATTAAGTGCAAACTTGAAGAAATAAAATATCCATTGCTTACCCTCCAGGACAGCCTGGAGACTGGCTTGGGACACGGACAGAAGCAGTCATAACTCACGGCTGACAGCTGTTCCCAAGGCTAGCGGCTACAGGGGAAGCCTGGCCTGGGCCCCCATGGCCAGGAAGGGCCGGAGATGGGCACTGGGAAAGGGAGATTCTGTAGGCCTGACAAAAAGCATCTCTGGAGTGGAGCAGGTCCCTTTGTTGGTGGGGACACACACTGTCCCCGTGTGGCTGGACACGGCGCAAGAGCCCAGATGTCCCAACAGAAGGTCAGGGAGAGGCACACGGGCCAGCTGGATGGTGCAAGGGCTGCAGCCGGGCTAGCGCGAGTCCACGTGCTCTTCCCAAGCGAGGGCCGGCCGGGGCCCAGGAGGCCCATGGTCTACCCTACACCATCAGAGGGCTGGGCCAGCAGGAAGGGCTAGGATGGGAAAGGACGGAGGAGTGGGAGCCTGGCTGCCACTGGCCCATTCCTGGACACCAGTCCCTCGGCACAGGAGAGCTGCCGGTCCTCGCTCCCAAGGCGCTGCAGGGACGGCACAGGCCTGAGGCCATCGGGTGGGGAGAAGGGCAAGGAGCCAAGGCACAGTCACGCACAAGCGGGGGCGACAGAAAGACCGGACAGACGGACGGCCACCTTTCCCTCTGGCCCAGGGCAGGTACAAGCCCTTCTGGCTCCAAAGCCCTCATCCCACGCACATGAGAAGCAGGCTGGTCACTCTCAGCCCGGCCTCAGGCCCTGCTGCGCGCCAGGGCACAATGTACGTGGTGCAGCTGGCTGCTCCCAGCGGGCCGGGAGGGCGGCAAGGAGAACTGGCGAGCCTTCACACCTCGGCACACACAAACACAGAGGGTTAAACACACCCCCAAGAAAATATTCTGACAAAATAAATATTTTAACTTATAATCAGGTATAATTAGTGCTTATGAGGAATCCCAGCAATAATTTAGTGTAATTACGTACATACTGTATCTGTGATTTCTAACACTTGTGGAGGCTGGTGGCGTGCGACGTCCAGCTTTCCTTAGAGCCCTGCTCCTTCCCTAGGCAAGGAGCCTGGGGACCGTGCCCGGGACGGCAGGGCAGGCGGGAGCCAGAGGCCTCAGGAGAACATCCCCACACTTGTTTCCGGCCCAGGCCTCACACCTTTGTCACCTCAGCCCACAGGAGTCCTCCACCACGTGCGGCCCACAGGGCAGCCAAGTCTTTCCAGTCAGGAGGCCTGCCTGCTGGGGCTGAGGGGTGCTTGACGTGAGTATTAGGAGCAGCTTTGCTGCAGACTCCCAGGAGGGCACCTATGTCAGCCTTGCTCACCGCAGATGCCCCTCTTCCTCTGTACCGTCCACAAGGCAGGTAGTCGACTTTTTCCTCAGAGGATGCTAGCCCTGGTCTGCCACCACCTGCGGGCCCAGCTCTGGCAGGTAGCGGAGGGCTGGGGTCCCTGGGCACGCCCGGGCCATCCCAGGCACTTCTCTGCATCTAGCTGCCTCAGGGGTCCTGCCCTTCCAAGCTGGTAAGAAGGGCAGGGAGAAGGCAGGGCAGGGCAGGAAGCAGGCGGCAAACTCTGAGGAGTGTTCTGTGGAATGAGTGTGACAAACCTGCTGTCTTGCAGATGGCTCCAACCTGACCACAGTCCTCCCTGGAGAGTGCTAGGCTGGGCATGGAGTCCCGGGGCAGAACACCCTGCTAGTGCTCGCCACAGCCCTCCCTGCAGTCCTGGGCCCAAGCACTTCCCAGAGCCGTCTCCAGTCACCTCACAGCGGCCCCCTCTCCCTGCAGCGCTGGTGCCCTGGCGGTGACGGGCACAGCACTAGGCCACGCCACACCATGGGTGGGGAGACTGGTCACCTGGCAACGCGTGCGGAAGGGTGCCGGCTCAGCAGGGTGGCGCAGCAGCTTGTTCCTCATCCTGGGTAACGGCAGCTTGGGGCAAGAGTTAGGTGGGTCAGGGCCAAGGTAGTGCTGAGTCCCTTGCCCGGGGCTGGGAGACACATTAATGAAGACACAGGACAGAAGCAGGTGTTACCAGCCCCCATCCGCTCAGCCCTGGGCTACTGGCCTTCAGGACCAGTGGCTGGGGTCATGAGAGGTGTCAGGTCACGCTGCCCACAGCAGGTTGGAGGCCTGGCCAGGGAGAGGTACAGGGGCCTCAGTGTCACGCTGGCCACTTAGTCCTTTGGAGCCTCCTGTCTGCTGCGGGGCCTGGAGGGGGTGAGTGGAGGCTGCTGCAGGCAGGGCCGGCTCACTTCTCGTCCCCGGGCCAGCAGCCCCTCACACAACAGGGTCAAGGGTTGGCGGCCGGAGCGCGCAGGCTGCAACTGGGTTTATGGCAGTGCCGCCCTCCCAACTGCGAGGGGCGCCCCACACCAGGCGCTGTGGGTCCTCTGCGGCCCCTCGGCTGGGCCTGGCCCTGAGCCGGCTGGGGTGGGAGGTCTCGGGAAGCAGCGGACTGGGGGGAGAGGGTCAAGAACACCAGAGAAGCCCGTGAGCGCCCCGCACAGCCTTCTAATGTGCCGACACGACAGGGGCCACGAGGTGACAAGGTCCACAGAGCGGACTGACTCCTGCTCTTCCAGAGGCAGAGACACAAAGCCACTGCTGGCAGAGGGGCACGGAGGGCGGCAGGCCTGAGGGAACCCACTGGGCCAGGCAGAGGTGGCACATACTGTGGGCACGCAGGGCCAGCCAGGGCCTCACCCCCCTTTCTGTGGACGGGTAATGCAGAAGACAGTCCGGGTGGTCTGCTCAGGAGCAGTGTCGAGGGGCTACTCTGCTGGGCTGGGTGACCGCTCTTCCTGGGAGGACACACGGTCAGGGTCTGGGGAGGGGAGGGCGGGCCTCCAGCTGCGGTGTGGCAGTCCCACCACCCAGAGACGGCAGGTGGCGAAAGCTGGTCCTGACGAGGATGACAGACACAGGTGTTTCCATGGAGACACAGGCGCACAGGTCAAGGCTGAGGGGCAGGGAGAGTGGCCAGCGCCCAGTGTCCACAGGGAGCAAGCAGTGACCTGCTATTCACGGAGAAGACCACAGCGCAGCTCACAGGGCGAAGAGGGCGTCCTCTGACCGCTCGGGCTTCTTCCGGCCAGAAGGGTTGGAAGCCGGGGCGGGAGCCTCCACAGGGGGCGACGGGAGGTCAGGGACCATTTCAGCGGCCTTGGCTCTTTCTTCCAGGAACTTATCGAACTCTGCAACACAGACCAAGGCAGGGGCCAGGGTTGACGAGGACGCAGCCCAGCTGCTCCACAGCGGTCACTCCGGCATCAGCCCATCTCCCAGCCCCGGCCTGTACTCCACTGGGGGGCTGACGGGGCTCAGGAAGCTGGGGTGGCGGGTGAGCATCCGTGCGTGAGCTGGGGACCTGTCTTAGGAAGGGCCTCCCCACCTCGTTTCCTCCTCTGCCATCCACAGGCAAGTGGGAGCCCCAGCCGGGCGGGAGAGGTGTGCTGCAGTGGGGGTGCTGTGGCCCCCCAGCGCCGGGGAAGAAGACCCAGCGGCCCCTGGGCCCCGCAGGGAAACGCTCTGGAAGCGAGACCACAGAACTCCTGCCTCGAGCTCCAAAGTTCTGTCCATTTTCAGATTAGTATGGGCGCAGGCCAGAGAGCCTGGCACCCCTCAGAGATGTGGCAGGGGACATCCCACATCTCCCACAGGAGGGCCAGGGGAGCCACTCAGTAGGGCGGTCACCCAGAGTGGAGGTCAGGTCCCCTGACAGTTCTCCGCCTGGGCCTTCTGACTACGGGGTCCGGCGGACTGTGAGCGGGAAGGTAAGGTTCTAGGAGGGACAGGGGGATAGGCGGGGAGGGCCAGGGGTGCAGCAGAGAGGGCAGGGCCCTGCTGAGAACCAGGCCCTGTTCGCACCTGGCCCATCCACTGAGGCCCAGGCTGGTGCTGTTTCCTCCAGCTCAGCCTTGCCCGGTCCCTGTAGACCCCTGTGGACTGGGTGCTGTGTCTGAGCTAAGTGGAGTACCCAGAAGTTGGGACCCAAGAGGGCACTGTGTACCCACTAAGTCTCAGTCTGTACCCACATGTTCTTCTGGACTTCCATCTCCCTTAAGGAAAATGGGAATGTGACTCCCCATGCTCCCCATATCAGCACCGGGCTGGACTCGGTCCCCTCCTCCCCCAAGCCACGGCTCCCGTGCTGGCACCAGCAGGGCCTCTGACAGCAGAGGCCCCGTGGAGACGAGGGGCCACTCTCTGTAGGTCCCCAGAGTCTGGGATGGGAATGGCAAAGGGAGGTGCAAAGCCACTGGCCAGGCCGTACCTTCGCTTGTGACGCCCTCTTCCAGGTCGTCGCCCTTCTGCGGGAGGAGCAGAGAGAGCAGCGTTAGGGACCATGAGGCCTCGCTCACCCAGCCACCTCTACCCCCCATGGCCACCCCACGTGGCACTGCCAATGGCAGTCCAAATAAACTTCCTGCTTTTCCCTGTTCCAGATTTTTTTCCCCTAGAGACAAGGTCTCACTAGGTAGTTCAGGTTGGCCCGAACTTAGGCAATCCTCCTGGCTCAGCCTCCAGAGGGCTGGGATTACAGGTGTGTGCCACCACACCCAGCTGTTTCCAAATTTCTGTAACAGCGAGATAATGCTCTTTTTATTGGAGGAGAAGACATTTTATTTTGTTTTGTTTTTTTAGAAGCAAAACCAGGGCCAGGGACATAACTCGGTGGCACAAGCACCTGCCTGGCAAGCGCAATGTCCTGAGTTTGATTCCCGGTAACAAAAAAAAAAAAAAAAAAAAAAAAAAGCAAAACCAAAAAACCAAATAGATTCCAGGTTTTGGCCCCTAGAAAGGCCAGAAAGAAAAATCTAAAAATGACACAGACTGATTCCCTGGCCGTGCACACTCAGGGCTCTGAAGAGAAGCAGGACGGCCACAGGAGGGCCGAGCCTGTGCTGTGCAGATGTTCCCAGGCCTGCTCCCCGGTGCCACCTCTGCTCACTACCAGCGCAGGGATCACGGGAAGACACTGTCCATACGGACAGCTGGGAGCTGTGTGGGGCTGGGCGGCCCCGCCTGGCACCTAGAAGGCGCTTGGGCAGGGGAGGCTCTGCCGGGCGCACCAGCCCTCTCCTTTGCCCGGACTCCATCCTCTCTGCTGGCCCCGGAAGGGCCATGGAGGCTGGGCGGGAGCCAGTCCCACTTGGTTTTGCTTAGAGGGCTGCCTGGAAGAGCAGCTCATGTGAGGCTGCATTGGGCAGGGGATGACAGGGACTGAGAAGCCCCCTTCCCCGACCTGTGGTGGGGCCTTGCTGGGCAGGTCCCTTCCCCTTTCTGGGCCTCAGGGCCCCTTACAATGTGAGGGCCTTGGCCTTCCTGGCTTTATCTCTCTTTAAGGCAATCTCTGGGGAAGACGCCATGGGGCACTGTCTTCCCCTCTGGACGCCTGGCCGGGTGGCTCCGTGGGCACTGGGTGCCTTTGAGAAGCCTGGGCTTCCGGGAAGGAGGCAGCGAGACACCCAGGCCCGTCGTCCTCCCGTGGTTCTGTCACGGCCCACAGCCTGCCAGCCCAGAGGCCACTGTTCTCTGGGGACAGGGTCACCCCGCAATGCGCCGCCAGGAGGACGAGGCGCCATCTCCTGACCCGGGGGAGCATCCAGCAAGCCAACTTCCCACCACAGCCACTTCTTCAGCAGCCCCCGGCCAAGCGTCAGGGCAGCTGAAAGGCTCTGAGAGGAACTGCGGGGAGGGAGGGGACCTAGCACCACTTCCAGACTGCAATATGCTCCGCTTGTCACCCCGGCTTACTGAATGGGGACATGAGTCTGCGGGGCACAGGGTCTTTTAAACCCAAACGTTCCCGGGAAAGGAGGTGACAGTGAATGCAGGACAAAAACAAATACCCAACTCATCTGTGTACATTTCGTAATAAAAATAAAATAAAAAGGCAGAAAGGAGGGCCGAGGATGTAGTTCAGTGGTACAGTGCCTGCCTCGAACCTGCAAGTCTATGAGTGCCTTCCCTAGGGTTGAAAAAATAAAAATTAAAAAATTAAAAAATTAAAACCAAAAAAAGTAAAAAAACAAAAAACAAAAAACCCGCAAAGATCCCCCGAACCCAATCAAACAACAACACCTCCCGCCGCTGCCCCCCAGCCCCGAGCACACGCACGCCCTTGAAACTGACAGAAGCTGGGGAGCAGGTGAGCGTGCTGGGAGCTGGCTGAGCCGGGTTCCCACGGGCCCTGAGTCAGCAGGCGGGGACCTGCCCCCACGGCAGGGCTGTGCAGGGCGGGGTGTGTGCTCCCAGGGCCAGGGCCGCTGTGGCACCCCAGGCCCCGGCCGGTGCTGGGGAAGAAGGCGCCCTGCGAAGAGCTGCTGGCCACAGCAGCCACGCCTGCCCTCCCTCCTCCACCCACCACAAGAGCCTCGGCCCTGCAGTGTCACGAGGCCTGTCCTCAGAAGAGCCTCTGCCTTGCCACGCCCCGCACGCAGAATATAAAAGTCAGTCTCACCAGGTCCGTCCTGAGCCACACCTCAATGTCGTCCATGACAGAGGGCTGTGCAACGGGGATCTATGGAGGCGGCAAGCATCGGGGCCACACAGCCCCCACAGCCAGGCGGAGGAGACAGAACACCGGAACAAAGTAAATCGTCAAAAGCAACCCCAAACAAAACCAAAATGCACATAAGCAGAACAACACAGCTGGCGCGGCACACACAGCACACAGGGAAGCCACGGTATGAGACAGCGGGGGGAGAGCGTGAGTGGCACATCGTAAGCAGCACGGCCGGCCGGCACGGGCCGGCAGCGAGGGAGGGGGCGGCACGAGTTCCTGAGATGGTAACTTTTTGACTGCGGGTCCTGGCCCTCACATCACAGATCTCCTGGCCTAGGGCTGTGGCGAGATCACCTTCTAATCTCAGTAACGCACTGGGCCTGCACTTTGATACTGAACTAGTCAGCCACGACGGCCCTTGGACTGCCCTCCGTCAAGCCCAATCCGGGAGGTAGCACAAGGAGCCAGGAGTGGCCCGGATGCCACGGGACAGCCCAAAGGCGGCCCGCCGGGACCGGGTGAAAGTCCTCAGGAAGGCAGGCAGTGCCAGCCCGGAGCCATCGGAGGCTCCACCTGCTCAGCTGTGTGCGTTACCCAGGGCGCCTGGGCACATTTTGGAAGTGGGGAAGGCAGTTGCGGGTGCAGCTGAAGGACAGCAGGCAGGCGGGCTTCGCCACCGACAAAGGCAGGGCAGAGCCAGGGCTGTGAGGACAAAAGGGACTGCGCGGCTTCTGTCCCCCCGTGTCTCTTTAGAGGAAACAAATCGCAGCAGTCCTGACATGACTTCGCTTCGTCTCGTCCTCTCTCCCACCCCTCAGTGGCTGGCTGCGCTCCAGCAGTGAAAGGGCAGGAGCTCCCTGAGGTCCAGGGAGCGGCAGCCAGGCCCCCTAGCAAACTTCACAGGTGTTCAAGCGCCACACCTGGGCTGCCTGTGCGAGTGTCCCAGGAGCACAGATCCTGAAAAATATGTGTCACAAAATCTTTAAATTGCCATCATTTATGATATGGAAGGTGGAGGTGAACTTCAACCCCTAGCAGCCATGTTCAAGAAATTTTAGCTCCCAGCCTAGACAAGGGAGGTAGTGGTACTTAACTGGGGTGACCTGCCTCCTTACCTCCCCTGGGTCTGGGAGGTACCTTCCAGGGGCTCACTTGCTAGCGCATTACTTCTAGGAAAAAAATGCCAGCACAATGTCTGTGGCTAACTACACCCCCAAAGACACAATCTAGGGTAAGAATAAAATTAAAATAAGTAGTAAGAGGACTATGAGAGTATTAACCAAGTCTAAAACATATTACGACCTCCACAGAAGAAAGAGAGTCAAGAGTTTGTATCACCAGGCGTGAAGTGACAACTCCAGCCATGGAGGTTGGCATCTGCTGCCCGCGGGGCATGGGGCACACAGTGGGGCGCCCTATGCTGAGCAGGAGTCTGCACAGTCTCTTCTGTGCCCTCACTTCAACTGAGTAAGGGCAGCCCTGCAAGCAGCTTCAGGAAGGTGCAAGCCAAGGACAGGCGGTGTGGTCGGTGGTGTGGTAGAGCACGTGCCTAGCATACTCAAGGCCCTAGGTTCTATCCCCAGCACCATTGAAATAAAATTTAAGAAAAAGAAAGAAAGAAAAAGAAAAAGAAAGGCTCAAGCTGCCCTACCCACTGACCAGGTAAGGGAATAGCGCTCTCTCTCTCTCTGTTTCCATTTTATCTCTTTGACTTACTGGGGACTTCAGATTTTTGAATTTAAAACATTTCAGGGAGGGGCTGGGGATTTAGCTCAGTGGCAAAAGCGCCTGCCTGGCAAGCGCAAGGTCATGAGTTCGGTTCCCGGTACCGGAGAAAAACCAAAAACAAAACAAAACAAAAAAAAACATTTCAGGGAGTTCTTATTACCCTGACATAAATCTTAGGAGCAACACATACATGATGACTCACTTGGGATGGGGGAACGAATGCCTGATGGCTGCGCCAACTGTGCCCAAGTCGGTACCAACCTCCCCTGCCAAAGAGCAGCAGGGCACAGCAGGTGCGACCCGCTCCCCGACACTCACTGGCAGATCTTCTGCCTTGCCATGCTCCTGGCACCGGACACACCAATGCTCACCGCCTTGCTGCCTATAAGTCAGGATGCCTGGCTCAGGCAGGACGTGCACCACGCCGAGTCCCCGGCCCTGAAGCTCAGAAAGTCAGCTGCTTTTTCAAAGATGAAAAGCAAACCCCAACAGCTGCCAGCGCTGTCTCATGTATGTACCCAGCACCAGCCCCTCTGGGAGAAGCTGAGGGTCCCCGGACTGAGCTCTCCCTCTCCTCTCCTCTCCTCCCCTTCTCTCTCCCTCTTCTCTTCTCTTTTCTTCTTTGCGGTCCTGAGAATGGGATCCAGGGCTCTGCACGTGCCAGGTAAGTGTCTACCACTGGGCATTTAGTGTGGCCAGAGCTTGAAAAAAAGCCATTAAGGGGCCATGGGCCTAAAACCATTAGATTTTTCTTATACTTTTCCAGTTACTATTAAAAAAAAATAGAGCTGGGGAAATAACTCAGTGGCACAGCAAATGCCTGGCAAGTGCAAGGTCCTAAGTTTTATTCCTGACACAAAAAAAATAGTGTTGGGGATATAGCTCAGTAGTAGCGTGCTTGTCTAGCATGTACTAGGCCTGGGTTCCTGCCCTATGCATAAAAGTCCATCCATCCATCCCACTCACCCACACATCTTGAAAGCCAGTCTATGATAAAAAAATTTTTTTTATTTTCTGCAAACAGGTACTAGTAAAAACAAAAATAAAAATCTTGAGAGCCAGCATGCTCAGAAAAAAAAATTGCCAGATACAGTGCTGCATACCTGTAATCCTAGCTACTTGGGAGGCTGAGGCAGGAGGATTGAAAAGGGCAAGGCCAACATGGACAATTTAGCGAGACCCTATCTCAGTTTAAAAGAGCTTGGGGATATATTCAGTGGTATGGCATATGCTTAGCATGTGCAAGGCCCTGGGTTCAATGCCCAGTAGTGCAAAAAAAAAAAAAAAAAAAAACAACACTCAATCAAGGTGCAGTAGCTTGCACCTGTAATGCCAGCAATCTGGGAGGTTGAGGCAAAAGAACCACAAGTTCAAGTCCAGTCTGTGCAACTCAGTGACTTAGCAAGACCTTCAAAATAAAAAATGGATTGGGAGGTAGCTCAGTGCAAAGACTCTGGTTCAATCCTTACTGCTGCGGAAAGGAAGGAAGGAAGGTGGGGAAGAAGTGGGGATGGAGTGAAGAAACACGGACATTCCAGAAACTTCTTACCCCCTCAAAGAAAAACTCTGCACAGGCAGGACCAGGGGGATGCTGTCGTTCCCTTCCCCAGAGGTATCCAGGTGAGCTGTGTTCATGACATGGTGCCCTTCTCTAAGGCAGATTTTGGTACTAGAGTATCGGGCTCACTGCTGAGATACTGCCTGACCGTGGGTTCAGACACCTTTGGAACTGGTTCGTAGGAGTTTGGGGAGGTTTGAGGACACTGGCCAGGAACTATAGAATGCTATAAGCTGAGTCTGATGGGAGATTCTGGTCAGAGCTCAGCAGACCAGAATGCTGACAGTAATCCAGCCGGTAAAGACCAAGCCCAAGAGGTTTCAGTTGGGAAGAAGGACTCCACTGGCAGTTGCACTCCAGACCGGGCGCATTACACTCTGATAGAAAAACTGCTCATGCCCTAGGCTTTGTGGGGGACCAAGATTAAGGTTGGTGGGCAGAAGCAGGCTGGATAAGCTCGCGTCTGGGCCACAGCCCTCACCGGCGCATGACTCGGGCACCACGCTTCCCTCTGGATGTGCTCCTTCCCTGCACGGTTCCCAGCCTTCTTTGTCTGCAGGGGCCTCGAGGATGTGGGTGGACAGGCAGAAGGAGGGTGCAGGGGCCTGGACAAGGCTTGGCCTGTTTCTTCATCGGTGAAACTGGGTGACTCTGAGGTCACATTTACTCCTTTTTTTCTTTTTCTTTGTGGTGCCGGGGATCAAATTCAGGGCCTTGTGCATGCAAGGCAAGAACTCTACCACTGAGCCACGTCCCCAGCCCGCATTTACTTTTAACACTCAGGACTGGGATCTCCTATCTTTCAGGGTGGGGCTTGTTTTCTGATGCAGACCCCCAGAGAGGTCAGATTATCCGAGTGGGAGGCACAGAGCACACCAGAGGGCTGGTTATCAGCTCCGCTTATCTAAGGTAAGGCAGGGATTGACTTCCTTGTGGTCACACCCAGAACTTCAGCTATTATAAATCTCCTGCCCTGGTAAATAAGCAGGTGCAGCATTCCACACGGTCAAGTTCCCTGGAATAATGTAGGTGCTGTCAGGGCCAGACTAAACATACACTGTCATGAAAATCCGCACCACAGAGAATGAAATGGAGGGACAGGAAGCTCCTCTTCCAGGCTGATTGAAGGGAAGGGAAGGGCCCTGACTAGGGAGCTCTCCACTGTCTTAGGGCACTTGGTGTCTCTGCCCTGCTGCTTTGGGCAAGTCACCAGAGCTTGGGAGGCCTCCGTATCTTCATCTGTTAAGTGAGGGGCTGGCCCAGCAGAGCCCTGAGAAGACGGTTGGCTCTGATGTGCTATGGTTGAGGGAGAGGGGGAGGGG